AACTTAATTAGTTTTATTATATATATATATATATATATATATATATGCAAGTTACATAACTTATGGAAATTATTGAAAAAACTTAAAAAAAGTAATACAGGGTAAATATGTTATAGGGATAAAGTACTTGTTGATGGTCATTTTCCTTCCTATGGTCCATAGTTTGGAATTACAATTGGAGGAAGGACAGACCATGCTTTGGCTGGAGTAAAATTCTTCTACCACAAAGAAATACATAACTAAATAGTGAAATATCAGGGCAAAAGGGTGACATTTTATTTAGGTAGATATAGTCAATAAATATTTAGTAATTAAAAATCTTTTCATTAAGGAATTCAGGTTTTTTAATGTTTTCAGATATACCACAAGATCTCACAATGCCTAGAAAACTGGAAGAAACCTCTTCAGGAAAATTTGGAACCTCTGCATCAGTCAGAATTCACTCAAAAAATTTCCTGTTACAAACAAATGGCCTGAAAAGGTAACACACAAACCCCTTCCTCTCCCCAGAAACAGGAAAAAAAGGAGGAATAATACAAATTTTCAGTAACAACAACAACAAAAAATAGGCCAACCTGAAAAAGTAGGATATAGAGGGTGTGTGAAAGCCAGAAAATGAGGTCTTTTTACAGTAAACCTGTATTTTTGCCAGTTACGAGAGAAGTGGTTGAAAACATCAATGATCATATTAAGAGTTTAAATCACACTTCTAACTTTAACAGAAACAATACTTACCACAGTGCAACACATAAATCACTTCTCTGAAATTTGATCAAGTTACCTACATGACATTTAAATTTTCTTTTAAACATAAAGACACTAAAGCAATCACATAATTTCTATAACAATTTATCAAAAAACACTACTTAGATAGTGCAGCATATTAACACAGGATTTCTCCCTCAACCAGAGGCAAAGTATTTTTGGATGGCAGGACAAGGAACAAGAAATTATGGCAATTGCTTGTTGGAGGTGTTGCACTTACCATTGGAAATCCATAATCTGCTGTATCCAAATATGTACATCATATGATTGTAACATTCTTCAGTCGGCAGTTATGAGCAGTCAAAGAGAAACAGGGTTTTGGAATGGCTACATCACCTTACCGACAACAGTTACATAAACTAATTGGTTAACTTTTTTTTTCCAGTTCTCAAACCAAATTAAACAACCTTTCTTAATCAACTGTTGGAGACATTCTTGATCTTCTGACATGGTGGATAGTTATTACTACTACTACTATCATTACTGTCCTTGTCTGTACCAAAGAGTGTATCGTAACTGTAACCACAGCAACTGCACAAGTTGCAATTTACACAACTTGGAACTTTGAACATGTAGGTTATTGAGGGCATAATGGTGATTGATGACGACATGCCAACTAGTAGCAAAGTCACAGTTAGTGTGACTTGGAGTTTTCTGCTGAAGATCCATTGGGTTTTGGTCTGAAAAACAGATGCAGCAATGATCAAATACGACTCACGTAATGGTGGTTACACAAGAACTACTGTCATTAACTACAGTGTTTCTGCTGATGATATGACCAGTCATAACTCAGTAAATCTTTGTTCAATTTGGAAAGTGTAATAGTTGTATTTCATCGTATGCTACATCCTGTACAAGTTTAACTAAAGTCAGATAAGTCTTGGATTTTTTACGTCCAACCCCTGTCATCAAGGCATCTCCAGTTGATGAAAAAAATCCTGCGTTAACAAGTAAAATGATAAATATTTTCTCACCTGTACCACCAGTTAAGTTGGAAAATATTTGATGAATAATTCTGAAAAAAAAAGAAGTAAAAATTATCATTACACACATCTTTTTGTTAATTAATCTTTCATAATAAACCTCAATACTCATTAAATATTATGATTTTCACATATTTTCTTTTTTTGTGTGTATGTGTAAGGCACCTTGCAATATTAGAGGTTTTGCTAGATCCAAGTCTACGAGGTATACATGGTCAAACTACCAGACAAAATTAAAGGTTGTGCAAGTTCCCTACTGCTGTAGAGAAGGTACAAAGTCAAACAAAATATACATGAATATTTAATATCTCAGCTAGAAGAAATTTTCATTGATGACAATTTTTTCTTTAATCAATAACTACAAAGTAAAAAAAAAACAAAAACAAACATATGACCTACAATTGGTAGATACATCTCATCCTGGTAGCTTATTAAATTTTTAAGAAATAATAATTTACTAACTTTTTATTAGCTTTACAAAACACTAAATTTGCTTTTGTTCCTTTGATAAATACAGCACATACAACTTTATAATAGTTCCTAGAATTTTCCATTAAATTATAGTTAGTTAGTTAAGTCTTGTAAATATTGGTACTTTTTTTTAAACAATAAGCAGTCTCTCTGAATGTAATTCATCTGGAAGATTTGGAAATAGTCTAGCTGAACCCAACTTACATTTTAAAATGTTTTATTTCAGTTCCATTTAATAACAACATTTTATGGATAATTTTATAAAACTTTTCAGGATCATCAATACTATCAACACATTATTTATGTTAGTATAATGCTTTTCACAATGGAAAAAGAAGAAAGAAAATATACTTTGTACCTTTAAAAACAAATTGTTACCATTACCAGTTTTATTTTTTCATATGCACAATTACAAATATAAAGTTCAACAGCAATCTGCACTATTGTAAAGCAAACAGAAAAACACTCACTCACTCACTTGACCCAGATGTAATAAACAAACAAGTACATGTGCTTATAAGATTGTAGATAACATCTAACAGCATATAGGTGCTTCAGATGGATACAAAAACTTCATTTTATAAGAGTTTAATATAGAAGTTGGTCAATAAGAAAAAATGGGGGAAACATGAATATATCAAAAAGAAAATATATTGTAAAATTACATCTAATTAAGCACAAAATATAAGCATTAATCCCAAATTATTGTATGTTGTTTAAATGTATGATGTGCATGTGTGTGTGTACATACAAATGTTATACCTTAATTGAAAATTATTTATGTCATCATGTGAAAAAAAAAATGTGTTTGTTTGATAAGTTTATATCCAAGAGTGAATGCAGGAAAGGTGCCTTTGTTATAGCTGTGTATTCTACTCTGCTTCAGATACGGCTAATAAATAAATTCAGTGTAAACTCTCATCATGGCAGTGCTACAAAATCTCCAACTCATAAAATTTATAAAAAGAATAACAAAATAAAATGCATATACCACATTTTAAACTGTTGCAATATCTCATTACATAGAATACTGGTGGATGTTATTACCACTGAATTAGCAATACTGGTTCAATATTATGTCAATTTCTGCCAGTAAGTTTGGTTTATTTCATTTTTTTCTTACTGCTGTATTTATAATGGCGTACTGGTTTTCACAGTTCAACTACAACTATCCAAAAGCAGCACAAGAGAAATTTGAGTTATGTCTTTAAACATCAATACAAGAATGGATTACTTTATGCTTTGTCAGTCTCTTGAATGTTTCTGTGAATAGAGAAATAGTGATTCAGAAAAATATTATGTGCATCTCTCTGAAAATAATATAATTTTAAGGTTTATATCATTTAATCAAAACAATCAACTAAAAAGTAATGTAATTAAACAACATGTGATTTGGAGTACAAGGAGTGTTGTTATTATGTAATTTCATATTACCATAAATTTTAGGGCTAGATCATAAAAGATGTTTTATCAATAAAAGAAAAATGTGATTGAGTAAATACATTTAAAAATAAGGATTTCTTTAAGTTTATGAAAAATGTATATTTTATTAGGTTAATATCAATTTAAAGATAGTTTTACTGTACTAGACAAGTAGAGAGAGCTTACTTACCCTTCAAGGGGTTGACGGAAGTGTTGGATATTTTGTCTATTCTGAGATCTCGCTCTCCTCCAGTTAGGATGATAATGAGGTCCTCTCACTTCTCGAGGATTTGTAGACTCTGCAGGTGTTGTACTTGAGGAAGGATCCCCTGGTCCAGAACCATCGAGCTGATTCCCTCGGGACGTTTCCCCTCTGCTGTGTTCATGATCAAGTCTTCTTAATGTGTCTAAGAAAGTATTGGCACTCCAGAGCTAGCAAAGTAAAATATATATATATATATATATATATATATATCATGTATATGTTAAAACATATTCTTTTAATATTCATATAATATTTGATCTATATACAGAAACAAAATTCTACAATGTTCTACTTACTACCGTGTAACAAGGAACAATAATTCCTTTAAGTATATTATATGAATTCACAGTTCATCTTTGCTTAAAGACTGTTGATACAACTCATCTTTTCTTTTAATTAATGTAGCTTAATGGTAATAAGAAATTTATTTAGGTTCTATTTTTTCTTTGAAAATATTGAGAATTTGACATGAAAAAAGCCAAATGTTTTGTCACTGCCATACACATTACAACAGAAGAATATGGCACTAAGGTCAATTTCATAAGTTGTCAACAGCTTGGAGTACTATTAGATTCTTAGGACCAAGCAGTTTCAAGTCCCGCGACGAGATTCTTATTATAAACAGATAACTAATCTGAGTGAACATACACAAACTTATTTAAATTTGTTTCAAGTATACAAGCCAAAATTTATAAACTTTAATTTTATGCAACCTTTAGCTGAAATCTAAAACTAACATTTATTGTTAATCAATTAATTCCAATATAATATTTCTAAAAAAAAGAAGGAGCTCGCTGTTGCTGAAATCTAATTGATTATCTAACCAAACTATTATAACACCCAAATGTTCTCCTACTTAGTCCTCAATCCTTCTGCCAAAATTGAATTAATGTGTTTATATATATTACATTTTAGTTTCTTTTTTCACCAAAGGTAAATTTGAAAAGAGAATCTGTGATTTAGAAAACTAATGCATTCTTTAATAAAGGTGAATTTGAAAAGAGAATCTGTGATGTAAGGCCTAATTCATTCTTTGATTATCCATACCTTTTGCTATGTACTGCAGTTTTGCCTATTCAAGGCTCATCAGCACAGCTTTGGTCAACAACCCACAGAAATAGAGTTAGGCCTCTTATAATGGTGATGTGTATATAATATTTATGGAGTTTTTGAGTTCTTTTTAATTCAACATGCAGTAGCCACAGCAATTCATTTAATAAAATATTATAAATGTAGGAAAATATATGTAGAGGTATGTTTAAATAACCAATATCTTAATATTTTCCTTATGCTAAAAAGTACACAGACGTATAAAATTTACACACTGCCAACTACCTTGCAATAAAAGACTTGTTTGATTTTTAAACAAACGAAACATTAACCGATACAAATATATTTAACATTTACAGCTTTTTTTAATGATAGTAATTACCTCTGCAAATTGAGCAGCTGGATCTACTTCATCTTCTGATTCTTCACTGGAAAAAAACGAAAAAAAAAAACGTGTGGACCCATAAGAAGTATAATGATTTTAGATGGCAAATATACAAAGTCTACTGGCTTGTACAACACTATATATTTACACCTTTTTTATTTTTCCACAAAGTTTTTGAAGCTATTCAGAGATAGCACTCAAGGTTTTTTCATCTTGTTGTGGTTTAACCCTATTCACATGGGTAGAGGCCAAAGTGTGCAACCTTCTACAGGGTGCCATTAAACATGGTATTACATATTTAACATCAGAGTTATAAACATTTTGTTTTACCCTATATTGCTCATTAAGCACCAATTCATGGTAGAAGACAGTAAATACCACATACAATATACAGGGATAATGAAACAAAAAACTGTACATATGCATTTTAGAGGTTCTACAGGTTATGCAAATTATATGAAGTAATAAAGTATTTTTATTCTTCAAACAAAAATCACCTTATACTCCAAATTGTCAGAGCCCGAGTCACGCTGACCTCATCAATTGACAGATATATCTTGAGTACAAACACCTTTGTAACATCTAATTTTTTCATGTACAACAAAGTTGTAATTTTACAAGAAGCTTCCAAATTTCATATAGATACACATAGTAAATTCGGAATTATAGTCAATGTTCCTTCTTAAATAAGGGTTCAGTCCAATAGGCCAAACACGTACACATTCAGTTAATTTGCATCATGGAATATACTTACATAAATATACCAACCTAAAATGTAATAAAAGAAAAATAAATTACATTTCACCAACTTTATTCAGTTCACAACATAACACAGCCTGCTAATACAAATAGCATCTCAACTGCTACTATTTCTGTCGTATCCCAGCCAACCTGAACAGCCACAATATTTGGGAAAAAGCCTCGCCAGCATTGGATAAAACAATTATGGTGCGGTTGACATATTATATACCCTTCCTTTCTCAGAAGTTCTTATTGGTAATCACTTGCTGAAGATTGCAGTTTGGAACCTTATCAACTAGATGTAGCTGGAAAGCTATAAAGGCTTACAAATTACATATTCTCAAAATCTATACCAAGATGTGACTCACATCTACACAAAGCCAGTTTCTTTGGATAACAATCTCTTTCATGAATAAACTAAAATGATGAATATTGTTGCAAAAATTCATTGATTCATACTGCAAACCAAGTTCTTTCTGTGCTAACCTTCCTTAGAAGCATCATATATATATATATATATATATATATATAGATCTAAAACAATAAAAATATACAATAGTAAAGCATATGTTAACTGTGGTCTTGTACTGCATTGCACAATAAATCAAAACCTGTAAAAACTTCAGACATTAGTGTACAACTTTACCTCTTGTCAAAAGACTATATAAGTGAATTAATGAATAAATAATTTACCAATATGATATCCATTTTTAATATATCTCTTATGTGCTTAGTGAAGCTATCATGTGATGCGTGTGTGCCTGTCTTTCACAAGTGTTCCCATGTTCTGTACCAGTCATTCCTTTTCAATTCAACAAATGTCCGATATGTTTCACACCATACCCTCTCAAATTTTAATTTTTTTTACATACCCATAAATATGTTGTATGTTATATTAATAAGAACTGTGTGAAACTTCAACATCCCAAGCCTGTTATTAACATTCAACTTGAAGATTTTTGTACCATTCACTACCAATGATAGTTCACATATCAAACCATATTGAGTACTTTTTTTTCCTGTTCCAACAGAACGGACCAAAAAAAAAAAAAACACAAGCAGTATTTAATGAGATTAATTACAATATTGGTGGTATTTTTTTGTGACTTTTATTTTTAGAGTCCTTGTAAAAAACAAAGCCATATACCAACATGCATTTTAATGTATAAAACTATAGAAGAATGTTTAAAAATGAAAATACTTTTTGTCATTAAAGAATTTCTGAAGCTATTCCCATTTACAGTGTATAACTACAACTTAATCCTTTTGGGTAATTAGCATTTTGTGACAAGTTAAAATACATTAGTTGAAAAATTAATTTTCTATCATAAGAAAAACCACTACCTGTAAAGTTAAATGTGTTCTGGCTCAGTACAAGAAGAAAAAATGAAAATGTACATGAACTTGGAAGATGAACTAAGCAAAACAACTGTGGTGATACTCTTCTCCCAATCCAGGAAACTCTCCCCCTCATCTACATCATTCTTTAAAAGAACCCCTTTTCACCAAATAAATAAAAATTTCAACACAGTACCTAAAAGATCCTTTGTAGGTGTTTGCACTTACATGTAATTATAGAAAATTGAGTTACCATGGGAAAAAGAGAAAAGTATTTCAAGAGAAATGATATGATCAGAATGTATATGATACTCATAAGATTTAGTGATTAACTTGATTAATCAATATAACCAATTGCCTAAAAGCTTCAATTACGTTGATTAGCGCCATGGAAAATAAACAATAAATCAAAATTATGATTAAATTTACAAAAATATTATCAAATAATCAAAGATATAATTTTCTTACAATGAAAGTATATTTCCGACAGGTACTTACTTCCGCTCACATACATAGCTTTTCTCGTTCAGTGCTGCCCTCTATTTCCATTTTTTTTTCAAAGGCCATAAGCCTTTCATTCCCATGCACCCCTCAATTCATATGGTTTAACTGATTCTCACATGCAAATTATCATGCGACAGACCACCACCAATAGTAGTGCGACACACCCACGTGACTCATATGATTCCCTCTATGCTATTCTACCAAACTATTACCGAGATTCTAAGTAATACAATCAAGAAGAAAATCTGCCTGATGGTAAGCAAAGGCAAATTGAACCAAATCCAGTGAAGGATGAGGCATGCAAGTACCCTCTCAAGAGAGAAGAAGGAAAAAAGAAAGAAGAAGAAGAGAGAGATAAAAATGCTCATCATGAAACAATGTCTGGGGAAGGAGGAGAAAAGTATACTGTGAAACGTGTTTAAAAAAGGCTGAGGTAGGACTAGCAGATTCTACAGTAGAAGACTGGGAAGGAAAGCCACAATCAGGCAGCGGAAAACTGACTAAATCTAGGTTGTCCTAAACAGGTTCAGCGGTTGTAGGAGGAAGGCGAGCATTGTCGGGAGAATGTAGTGCAAACTCTAGCTCCCAAGTGTCCTCACAAACTAGATTAATTGTAAGAAGTCTAAATTATTAAGAATTATAACAATGAAATAGTCAATATAATGTAAATTTTAGTGTGTAGTGAAACAAACATAGGTATAAGACATTGTCTTGAAGAAAAGAAGATATTTAACCTAATTATCAATTTACCTGTAAGATGAACTACAGGTAAACCGAAAATAACACTTGTTAAGCCTAATCAAATTGTGCAGGACAAAGTATATCACTAAGCTCCAAGTTAAAACCATAACTTAACAATAATATGTACAGTATTAAGAGAAGTTTGTGTGGGCCAGACTCCAGGGGACCCCAGAAACAAAGTCAATTTGAAGAAGTATACAACATAAATAATAACGAAAATGAAACAGATGTTATACTGTAAAATTAAGTCAGTGTGTAATGACAATAACATACATATGAAATGTGATACTTTGAAAAAATAACAATATAGTTAACATAACTTATGATATAAGGGTAAGATGAATTACAGGTAATTCTAAAACAACAAATACTCATATTAAGCTTAATCTAACAATATGGGACAAAGGATACAACAACACTAATTTCAAACCTGAACATAAGTACGAGTATTGACCAATTTAACTAAACTCATGTTGTTGAACCCAAATAACTACAGATAATAATATTAACAGTAAAAATATTCCAAAACACAGTATAATACCTTATTTTTCCAAAGTTGGCAGACTGTATTTCAAAATGTGTGAGCCCCCAAACTCAAGTCTAAGTCTGACAAAGGTCAGCTCATTGGATGATCAATCTCCCGACAAACTAAAGCCAATAATCCCCCAGTGTAAATAGGCTGATAGAAAATATGAATTCCAAAGTGGTCACTTAGAATTCATATTCAAAATAAATAACCAAACAAAACTACGTTGGCAGAAAGAAAAAAATATTTGTAATGAAGTATTAAGTTCCATAACTAGGTAAAAATATAAAATAATTCAACTTCGGAATAAGTTACAAATATCACCATTGTATAATATATAGTAAACTTGGTGTGAGAAATTGACAAGAGTATACACACACACAAAAAAAAACAACAACATATCGCACAAAACACCTGAACACGAAACAAGAAGTGATAGGTAGAATACCATAATGGGACGTGGGTGTGTGGTACTACTATTGGTGGAGGTTTGTCTCATGATAATTTATATATGAGAATCAGTTAAACCATGTGGATCGAGGGCAGCACTGAATGAGAACAGCTATGCATGTGAGCGGAAGTAAAGTACCTTGTCGAAATTGTTTCCGATTATTACAATTTTTGATTATTCCAACTATCAAAGTCTCATGTGAGAATAACAGATCAGTTGTATGTAAATGATTAATTATCTAATTCTACTTACTGCCCAGCTCTATTAACCATCAATACAAAATATCAACAGTTATGTTACACAAAACCTGAAAAACTCTTATTAATTCATGCTACATTAGAACTTAGGAAATTCTCAACAGTAAAATACCAGTTTTCAGTATATACCATTTAAAAATAAATTAACAATGAACTTGCAATTCTCTCAAAATAAAAATCTGTAAATACAAATAAACATTTCTTGAATGGTAAACATAGATTTACTGGCATAAAAATTATTGTGGACAAAAGCATTTTAAACTAAACAGATCTTTTTAATGACTTGAGATTCTTCTAGAATATTGTGTGTGAATGAATTGTATATGATATAATGGTAAAGTTAGTAAAACTAATTTACCTTTCTTGTGGTGCAGCTGAATGATTTAGTTCTTCTATGAATCCACTCTGACATCGAGGGCATGTGTAATCCTGAAATATTGTTTACAAAGGATTAAAAATTTCCATACAATATACACAAGGAAAAAAAAAAAAAAGTACTTTATATATATATATATA